TCATATTGCGTGTTGCTATTTTTAAATATTGATATGACAGCTCACGCACAAAGTGAGAAGATATGAGTAGGCTATAAAGGCTTGAAATTCTATTTAAAAACGACTGTGGCCTTACCGATTGGGGACGTAACTTGTGATAATACCGATTCGAATTTCACCGCAGGCGCCATTTCATGCTTTGTTTATCCCAGTACCAATCGGACTATACTCTAGCAAGAACGTACTGGGCACATGATCTGGGGGCACACCCGGTAGAAACTCACGTTTACAACCGTAACGCTTCCTCAAATTTCCCCAAATTGTTCGCTTTTCTTTTCCTTTGTGCGCCATGTTGCATTCTCAGGCGGGTTACCGCTGTACACTCGTTCCCAGACTCCCATTCCCGGTTCCCCGTTCCCCGTTCTCCGTTCCCAGTTTTAGTAACATCCTTTCCATTTTTATTTCGGTGTCTTCATTGTTGTGAATTATACGGGTAATTATTTCTTGGATTTAGCTTTGTTCCTGTTTGAACAAAAATTTAAAAAAGCTTTACATAGTTTTCGTCTTACCTCACTTGGGTGCCAGAACACACGACATAACACCTGTCATTACTTGAGAATTCTCCGGATCAAGATGTCACGCAAACCGTTAAGTCTATAAAAAAAAAAAATTGGTCCTGTACAACCGTGACGATTCTCAAATTCCACGAGCTGATTTCCTCGGTTCGCAGATTTAATACCCTTTAGAAATTTCGAAATATTTATGCTCATTTATTTCAGGGAACTGCTCTTTAGTTACAAAAAACTCTGCGCAACGTTTTCCAAACCTGTGTTTACTAAAGAAACATTCAGGCGGAGTTGTCTAAACTTGACATGTTCACGCTCTAAACGTTAATTCGTTCAACTAAAAAACGCGACAGTTTGTCTCGACAAACTTAAATGTTTTACGCGCAGAACAACGCGGAAAAAACGTTGGCCGTTCACGGTAGCTCGAAAATGGTAGTATCAGCCTTTGATTCCTATGTGCCAATGAGATGCAATTCATTTTTTAATTCGAGAACGGCAAGAACTAAAGCTTTTTAACCCAGTTTGGCCATTGAATTTCAGAACAGTTATAAATCATGGAAGATGTTTGTCTTTAAAGATTAATGTGTTCATCAAACCATTAAGGAGGCAAGTTCCGTGTCTTTTAATGTAAACTCCTCTTACTTATCCTTACATTTTCTTTAAATTTTCCTCTGAGAATTTTAGAACACTTCAACAAGAATCTATCTTCCTAGTTTACGATTCATTCCTGTCAAGTTAACGATGCATTGATACAAGGAAGGATGATATTGATATCATAACAGAACTTTTATGTCAATCACTTTTGGTAAAAGAAACAAAATTAATATTCATTTTAAGAGCGCCATACTCCATTAACTTTCCATAGCACTTAACAATACTAATTAAAAATTAAGAGGATAGAATTACTGACAGAGTCCGTCAGGCCTGTTTTGATTACAAGTCAGTCTAGGATCAGACTAATGCAGGGAGGAAGAAGCCGCACTTGTTACAGAACAACGAGCCATACAACAAATCTTACAGATGGCTAGTTTGCCTCTGACTCAGTTGGCCATTGCGGCTATCAGCATTGTCTTTTCGATCTTATTTGTAGTGGCGAACACAGACTTTTGTGGAAGCGTTTTTGAAACTCAAGTTGGTAAGTTAACACATGTAAACTGTAAAGATAGTCTTTAGTAAAAAGCTGATAAACTAGTTACACTAGACATTTCCGATCATTGACTGTCAGTTCTGCAAAAAACTTAGGATTAAAAGAAGATTTCGCAACCCCAATATCGCCGAGGAATAATGTGAGTTGAAGTTTTTAAACTTGTTTGTTAAGATACAGTTCACTTTTGGATGAAACTGAAGAATCAACTCACATTGCTCCCTATGGCAATGGTATTACGTAATCTTTAAGGCTAAGTTATAAAAACACCCAGATTTTTGCAGAGCTGATACCCTGGTGATGATCTCAATGATCGAAAACGTTAAGTGTAAATAGTTTAAACAGCTCTTAACCTAATTTTCTTTATATAGTTTTATTTTACTCGGCGAAATGTCGTCATCTAAACTGACTCCTTCTCTTTTCCTTCGACATGACACTGTACACTGACTTTGACAAAATATTCATTTTCTTTCTGCTTTCAGANATTTTTGCGGAGCTGATACCTCGAAAACGTTTAAATAAAGTGTAAATAGTTTAAACAGCTCTTAACCTAATTTTCTTTATATAGTTTTATTTTACTCGGCGAAATGTCGTCATCTAAACTAACTCGTTCTCTTTTCCTTCGACATGACACTGTACACTGACTTTGACATATTCATTTTCTTTCTGCTTTCAGACCATGCCTTACTTGGTCATGCCATGGACACGGTTACTGTTGTTGATGAATTTGAATGTCAGCTTAAATGCATCGAAAATAAAAGTTGCAAGTCGGTTAATGTTCATCCAGATGGCAACAATGCACAACGACGCATTTGTGAGCTAAACAACAAAACCAGACAGATGAAGCAAAGAGATTTTAAATGGAAGAAAGGATCTACATACTATGGCTCTGTTCAGGTCAGTTGAATTAGTTGAAACTGAACTACCGTACATTCACATAATCTAGTTTAGTTAACTTGATCCGAGCAGAGTGATCTTTGAGAAAAATACAAGAACTGGATCGGCTTGAATGGTTAAAAAGAGTGAACATAGACTTAAATAAAACGATTAGGTTATGTTAATAAACCTTGTGGTAACTACTTAATTTAACGATCTGGTTTCTTTCATATCTTCACCCAACACAGGCCTCCTGCATCGATGTTTCCCGTCAGCAGAACAAACAATCAAAGAGTGGAAAGTGTCATCCAGGATACAAGGGGAAACAATGTGGAAAACGTGGGTGGTGAAAATTTATCTCGCAACGATATTTTGTATAATTTGGTAAAGCAGTTTGCTTCAAAATGTGCTCGCGAACTGCGCAATGCTTGTAAGGAGATTATTGTTTTAGAGTAAATTTAGTGACGTTGGTAGACTTTTAGAATGATTTCCCTTCTGCTTCAAAAGAGCATGAAGTGTCTTATTAAAAACATTTTTTTCTCTTTTCTTTTTTTTAGCTATAAAAGGTTTGTATTCCAATCAGCCTGCTCATTCCTGTAAGGACATCCGGGACTCAGGAGACTCCAAAGGAGACGGCGAGTACTGGATCGACCCTGAGAAGAGTGGAAACCCTTTCAAGGTTTACTGTGACATGACAACTGATGGAGGTAAGTTAAGGATATCGATATAATGATATAAAAGGAAAACTTTCTAAAATCCCAGGAACGAGTGCACAAAGCCCCCACAGCTTCCCGCTGTACTTAACAAGACCAGCTTTTTATGCGTCTGTCCATTCGTTGCTGATAAATTGCGTCGTAACATTTTCAAAGTATCTGCGGATCCACGAGGCTTTTTCGAGAAAGATAACGAAAGACAAACTGAGATAAAAAAGGAAAGAAAAAAACAAGAGAAAACGCTAGGTTAAAGTGAGAGAACCTGAATTTCGTTTAGCCAAAATGATTCCGAAATCCCGCGAGACGTCGATAAACTTTAAACATACAATAAGTCGAACTAAATATCAGAAATGGAAATTTTTAACTAACCTTTATTCCATTTGGAAATTCTTGAAAACCCGCTGAATTATCACCGAGTCCAGTCCACTCGCATCAGATCAGTACTCAGAATACAACAAAATACTGAGATATTCCACTCGTCGAGGTCCAGGTCAAAATTTGACAAATACATGTTTTTCTGCGGCCTTACAGTTCAATTCAATCTGAAGAAAACGTCATCTTAAACTAAGTTCCCGTTTAGATACAATTTGTCGGTTTTAATCAAGAAATGAAAGCATTAAACACGCTGTGAAAGTTTGGTAAAATTGTCAAGATCCGCTCTTGATGGCGTCATGTATCTGTCTGTGCTCTTATTGACCATAAAAACTAGCCAATGGGCGTTCTACGATTGGATTATTTTCTCTTACAAAAATATTCCCGTTAAGATCTCATTTGTCTGTTATAGAAGGAACAATTAGCATGCAGTGAAAGTTTTGCAAAATTTTCACGATGCTC